TCGGTGTGACAGAATGTAATGCTGTGATGACGGATATCAGTGGTTAGTGGATCGACTCCGGTGCAACTAGGCATATCGCAAAGGACAAGAAAGGAGTCATAGAATTCACCGAGCTTACTAGGCATATCGCAAAGGACAAGAAAGGAGTCATAGAATTCACCGAGCTTAAGAAAGGAGAACAGAGAATCTATATGGGAAATAATACCTATCTCGATGTAGAAGGTATTGGTTCGTATAGATTAGATCTTGGGGATAGTATTCTTGTCCTCAAAGATGTGTTCTATGCGCTAGGAATTCGGCTCAATCTGATCTCTGTTCCCAGCTTGATGAAGAAAGGACCGAAAGTTAGGTTCTATAATAGCAGGGTTTCTATATGCAAGAATAATAAAGTATATGCTATGGGAAAATATGTGTCCGAGCATGAATTATGTATTCTTCTAGTAGTTTGTAATAATTCTGATAATAAAATTTCGAATTTGAACTATTTATCTTATTATTTTTCTAAGTCTAAATTGTGGCATTCTAGATTAGGACATGCTAGTATTTCAAAAATAAAAGAAATTATCAAAATGAACTTGCTTCCTGCACTATCTAATATTCAATTGCCACCATGTGAACATTGTTTAACGGGTGAAATGACTAGAAAACCTTTTATTGGCGGACAGAGAGTCAATGAACTTTTAGGGTTGATACACTCGGATATTTGTGGTCCCCTAAGTGTCAAAACTCATAGTAATAAAGAATGTTTTATTACTTTTATAGGTGATTATTCCAAGTTTGCACACGTCTATCTTATATCCAGAAAATTAGAAGCTTTTGACTGCTTTAAGAGATATAAGACAGAAGTTGAAAACCAACTTGGATTGAAAATTAAAATTTTAAGAACTGATAGAGGTGAGGAATGTAACTCTAAAGAATTTGAGAGTTATTGTATTCAGCATGGAATTAAAAGGCATACAACAATGCCGTATACGCCACAACAGAATGGTGTTGCTAAAAGAAAAAATAGAACATTACTTAATGTAGTTATATGCATGTTGTCTCATTCTGGTCTCTCTAAAAACTTTTGGAGAGAAGCATTATTAACTGCAAACTACATTTTAAATAGAATTCCCACCAAATCAGTTGTATTTAGACCTTATGAATTATGGAATGGGAGGAAACCTATTTTGAGTCATCTCAGGAAGTGGGGATCTATAACTCATGTTCTCATTCCATGTCAACTTAGAGATAAGTTGGATTTTAAAATAATAAAGTGTAGATTCATAGGATATTCAGAAAATTCAAAAGATTATAAGTTCTACAATAAAGAAAAATGAGTCATTGAAAGCAGAGATACTACATTTTTAGAGAATCTAAAGGAAGAGGAACAAGTTCGAGAGGAAACAGAACCTCTAACTGTAATAGATGATGATTATTACAGTGTTGTTCCCACTAATGACCTTGATATTGTGAATGAACCTAACCTTGAAAATGATGAAATAGCTATGAAAAATAATGTACTTAATCAACCGGTTGTAGACAACAAAAGACCAAGAACACAACATTCATAGATGAATGATTACTATTTGTATTCATGTGAGCCATCCTGTTTTCGGTAGATACAAATGTAGAAGAACAAGATCCCTTAACCTTTTCTGATGCGATGAAATCGCATGAATCAGCTTTATGGCTAGAATCTATGAGAGAATAACTTGATTCCATAGAAAAGAATAAGGTATGAGAGTTATGTGATCTACGAGAAAATAAAAAAGACATAGGATGCAAATGGGTGCTCAAAAAGAAATATCGTGTTGATGGATCTATTGATAAATTTAAAGTACGGTTAGTTGCCGAGGGTTATAACCAGAAGGCAGGAATAGATTTTCAGGAGACGTATTCTCCTGTAGCTAAATTTGCATCCATTAGAATTATTTTGGCTATTGTTGCATATCTTGATTTGGAATTATTCCAAATGGATGTTAAAACTGCATTCCTTAATGGAGAGTTGAAGGAAACAATATATATGCAACAACCTGAAGGTTTTCAGGTGAAAGAATAGGAACATAAAGTTTACAAATTAATAAAATCTCTATATGTTTTAAAACAGTCTTCTAGACAATGGTATCTCAAATTTTATAATGCAGTTACTAAACTTGGTTTTATTCAAAATAAATTAGATAATTGTGTATATGTCTTGAAAAGTGGGAGCAAGTTTATTATATTATCCTTATATGTGGATGATATATTACTCGTTGGAAATGACATAGAAATGTTGAATAAAATCAAGACAGATCTCAACAAAAAGTTTGAGATGAAAGACATGAGAGATGCATCATATATTCTTGGAATTCAAATAATTCGAGATAGAAAGTCTAGAATGCTAAGTTTAAACCAAGAAAAATATTTAAGATCAGTTCTTAAAAGGTTTGGAATGGAGAATTCCAATCCGACACCAACTCCGTTGGTTATGGAAAAGAGATTATGTAAAGAGCAAAGCCTTGGAGAGGGGCAGAAGCCATTAGATGTTCCTTATGCTCAAGCAATTGGAAGCTTGATGTATGCAATGTTGTGCACCAGACCCGATATAGCTTATGTTGTGAGTCTAGTCAGTCGATATCAAAGTAATCCAGGACCAGCATATTGAGAAGCTGTTAAAAGGATTATGAAGTATATCAGAGGTACATTGACTCATAGGTTAGTTTATCAAGCTGATTCACTTGAACTCCTTGGTTATTCCGATGCTGATTTCGGAGGTGATAAAGATGATGGAAAGTCCACTTCGGGATACTTATTCATCTTTGGAGGAGGAGCTGTTTCTTGGAGTAGCAAGAAACAAGGGTGTGTTGCTAGATATACGTAAGAAGCTGAATGTATAGCTTGTAGTATGGCAACTACACATGCTGTCTGGATAAGACGGTTTTTGATTAATCTTGATCTCAATTTGTTAGAATGACTTATTGATATTTATTGTGATAATCAAGCAGCAATTAGCTTAATCAACAGTGGCGCGAATAGCTCCAAAGGAAAACATATTGAAATCCAGTATCACTATATTCGAGATATTGTAGAAAATGGAGAAGTCAAAGTGACTTATATCCCTACTACATATATGATTACTGATCCTTTGACAAAAGGAATACCAGCGGAATCTTTTATCAAACATGTAAGTTTGATGGGACTTAGGAATAAATAAATCCAAGTAAATTTTCATGAATAATGAAATAAGAGTTACTCTCTACAGATAGTGGGAGTAGTGGGAGTAGTGGGAGTAATGGTAAGCAGAAACATTTGATTTCACGGATAGTGAGAGGTATGTCACTTGGTTAATTTGGTCAAGTGGGAGATGTTAGCTTGACTCGGTCATTGATGACCAAATCAACCAGATGTTAGCTTGACTCGGTCATTGATGACCAAATCAACCACGGTTTCTCTGTTGAGAGAATGGTGGAGAACGTGAATCGTGGGTGGAATCAACCACGGTTTCTCTGTTGAGAGAATGGTGGAGAACGTGAATCGTGGGTGGTTGAGAGAAAATCTTTCATGGGGGCGGATCTGAGGGGTAAAGATGATGGGTTTAGCCCCTATATAAGGAGGACCATTCTCCTTGATAAAATATAACGAAAACAAGAGAAACCCCACTTACCCATTACCGAAACCCCTAAGAAATATCAGTTCTTCTTTCTCTTCTCTTCTCAGAGTTCGATCAAATACTACCTTAGCTCCGCAATCATATTGAAACAGTGAAGCAACTTTCCAACCTTAAATACCCTTCAGCAATCACATTACAAATAAACCCATCCCGCTTCAATCCCCTTTCGGCGGTCGTCACCTTCTCAAAATACTTGGAAATCAAAACCCCAAAACAAAACCCATCGGGCTCCACCTCTCTCTCAACCATTCTATCAAACACCTTCTGTGCATCCCCCGTCCTCCCTTACCTACAAAACTCTATAATCAAAACTGCGCAGGTAACCAAATCAGGTATTAGTTACATCGATACTTATCCTAGTAGAGGTTCTCCATCCCACTACATCTCCACAATGAAACCTTCACCCTTCTCAAATTCACTGTTGCACTGTTTGAACTGAATATAATTGTGAAAACTGTTGACTGTTCAAGGAAATCATTTCGCTGAAACCAAACCATGATTTTTGTGAGTAATAACGCTGGATGCAAATTCGGAGAGAGACTCTCTACTGTCATATATGTGTGTTTAGATTTGGTTAGTTTTTGGACAAAATGACCAGATCTCCCTAATAAAGCAACTCTTAAAGTATTAATATGTTTATATTCCTCCTTAAATTATCTGTATGAGCTCAACGTGACCATTTTCTTAGCCCAGAGTCAAATATTTAACAGATTGACGGCATGATAGGGTTTTTTTTTTTGGCTTTTCTTGTATTTTCTGTAATTAAATAATAATTTAAAATTTCCAAAATTAGATTGAGGCGAAAAAGTTTCGGAGGAAAAAATATTGGAAAATTTTTTGCGCTACAAGAAAAGGTTACAAATTGATAGAAAACCATGAAGAAATGCATTGAAGAAAAACACATTGTCAATGTCGTCGATCTATTAAATATTTGAATGTGGGCTCACAAACTGAGCACATTGGATATATACACATAGTTTAGGAGGGAAAATAAGGAAATTGATCATTTTGAGGGAAGTTGAGAGTTCATTAATACTTTAAGACGAGTGCGCTACTAGTGATCTTCATGTTGGTTGAGGTTTAAGCCATTTCCAATATATAATTTTTGAATCAGTTTTACTCGACCTCAAAACTGCTTTGAAGTAGATAGAATTGACTGTGATTGCTACACTTGAAGAGTTAATGGAGTAACGGTAACATAAATGTACGAAAACTAGCATCAGTTTTATGTGCAAAAACTGGTATATGCTTTTCTCTCCTTTTCTTTCCCCATGGGAGGAGAGCAGAAGATGTCAAAAGTAAAATGGGTCAGAAGCAGCATCCTCTCATGGGGGCATGGTAATTATCATAGTAAAAGATACCAGAAAACAAGAGTTCAACCTCAGGCTTACAACCATTTTCCATGGAACTGCTTTACAGGAAAATAAAAGGTCATAGCAAAAAAAAAATAAAAACTAAAAATAACCTGTCGAGTTTTCATTCACAATCCCTGTATGTCCAGGTCTCCTACAATGAACAGAGCTAGAAAGTAAAATGTCATTCTTCTGCTTATTTTTTCCTTAAGTTTTTGGACAAAGGTAGAAATGTGTATCAATCCTATATTTAGCTAAAGTACATAGCAAGGCTCGCACCGGTCAGACACCAGAGCATATTAGACACTCCATCCTTTTAAGTTCTTTAGTTTTCTGCTCGATTCTCGTACAGAATCTCTACCATTGGAATAAAGCTTTCTTCTATCTGACTGCTTGAGGAATTTATTCACTCCTCCACTACAAGAGAAAATTCAAGAGGCTTCTACCCCTGTTTTTAAAAAGAAAAGATCAAGATGAGTAAAGACTAAAGAATGTTCCAAAGTATAAGCACTGTACCTAATATTCATATCTCTAAACGCAAAAGAGATTCCAATATATTATCTCCAGTGGTCGAAGGAAAAAACATTTACTTTTTCCTCATACTAAGGTGATAATTATTGTCATTTCAATACAATATAAATCCTCTTCACAAAAAAGTATAGACATGTAAGATTTAATGCAAGACATATCAATAAAAAATATTGTTTGTGAAGTAAAATCTAAAATGGCAACAATAATTTGCCAACAAGTAATTAAAAAATGTCCCGCTGCTGGAAAAAAGGAAAATCATAACAGAGAAACCAGGACCCAGGTATGATATTTTTAGGATATTGCTGTTAAAGGATGTTCTAAACAGATGATTGGGTTTTAGGATATTACTGTTAAAGGATGTTCTAAACAGATGATTGGGTTCCCCCCCACACACACACACACACACCACCACCACCACCACCACGGGAAATGTGGTACATTAACTTTCTATCTAAATATCAATATTGTAGCAAGTAAAAACGTGAAATCCTTCAAGAATTTGGAGTAATGTAATAAATTTTTGTATAAAGTAACAAAATCCGAATGCAACAGATGAAAATAAGAACAAACCTTAATTTTCTATGAAAATGAACTGTCTAATACTCAATAAATTACTTAAAAAACAAAAGTAAGGCAGATTGATGGGCAAGAATCATCAAAAAACAAAGTATACAATAGCATTGTCTGGCATTAACATCAGAGTATTCCAGGGAAAGAATGGAAAAATGAAACACACATAACCCTCAGAATTCTAAAGGAAGCACACAATCAAGCTCAACAATTTATACTCTAGAAAAGATGTTTGACATAAAATTCTCTTACCCATTCATCACTTAATTTTATTAGCTAAAATAGATCAGGGTCATTATGGTGGCATCAAATGTTGTAGAGATACATACAGAAGATTTTGGAAACAACTTTTAACTCCTCATTAAATTAAAGAACGAAGG